TGGTGGTCCTCAGAATTGTGAGCACGTTCTTCCCACAGTTCTCAACAACACAGAACTCGTTCAGCAGCAATAATAGGTATTATTTTTTCAAACCTGAACTCACATGGAAATCTAAAACTATAATATGGAAAAATAAATAAATAAATAAATAATAATAATAAGTTGCAAAAAACCAATGGAAAATATTACAGGAAAAATGCACTAATCTAAAATGTTTTTCAATATGGAGCTACTTCAATATTTTCAATCCGAACCATTATGTTCAATTATAAGTATAAATTACAAGGTTCTGAATTGGACTGGAAGAGATTTGAGAGCAAACTAAAATGATTGTTGTGTATAAGATTAAAACATAGTGCAATAATGTTGATAAATCTATTTAGCTGCAAATTTGAAGCCATAAAGGAAAACACAAGTCACCCTTCCAAGAGTTCATGGAACTCACTTATAAGCAAGTCCAAGATGTGCATTTTGCATTCATTTACTACAAAAAAAAGTGCAAGAAAATGATATCAGACAATTTATAGTTTACTACATATAAACATGCAAGAAAATGAAATCAGAAAATTTATAATCTTCCATTTAATAATTGGTGTCAGGAAAGACAAATAGAATTACATGTGCTGATATATAATGGTTTTGAATGTTCTTTACTTTATGTGATGACCCATTCCTACTGTCCCGAATCTCCATACAAATGGTAAAATAAACAAGTCATCCATGCAGTGTGCATTTATAAGTCAACGCATGTGCCATGATGTATTTGGACAAATGACCCTTTAATAAATGGGAATTTGTGGGGCATATATTTCTAGGAGCTCACAGCAACGCTGCCTTCGATCATGTTAGGGGCTGCTGGAAACAGAATTTCTGAAGAGAGACATCAGAGTTGCCAAGGAGACATGAATAAAATATTTTTATATTTATTCTCAAAGTACAGTTTATGAAAATCAGTGACTTCCAGAGCTGTACGCATCCGTCATGCCTCTTGATATAATCTGTTAGAAATTAGAGAATAAAAGTAAATGAGAAAAAATAAGGAAAAGAATATAGAATTTGTATAAATACTCTGCCTATTTAAGTCCAAAAAGAGAGAATCTATTTATGGGTTCAAAAAATCCAAAATATGGAAGTTAATGTATACCTACCATAATTTGTCCGATAAAGAATTATGACAATGTCATATATAAAGAAAATGAAACTAGAATTAATCTTCTAAATAAGAAAAGAAATAACCTAAATTGTCTCTAAAAACAAGATCTCCAACATAATCCAAATTGAATTATCTGTATTTATCTCTTGTAACTGTAGATTTCTACCAGAAATTTCCATCAAAAGCTTGAATATGTGAAGATGGCAGGCCTTCATTATTCCTTCACAACCTTGAATAAAATCCATTTCTAATCCTTATCATTTTTTACCATCCAACCTAGAGTCTTCAACGTATACACTAAACCGTTGTTTATATACGCTTACTAAAAGACTGACTTTCGTTCATTATCATTAGGTCAGAGTGAAACTAAGAAAGAGAGATCGCTTTCAGATAAGAAAGACTAGTCACTTCAACCTACCTTCGTGACTTTAGTTGCCTTAACTTACAAATTGGCATTTAATGAATAAAGGTTTTGACGCTTTCAAACATGGAACCAAAATTGGGAATAAGATTATGGTTAATAGATTGACCACATCAATGATTTTCCTTAAACAGGGGAATACAAGATAACATATCACCAATTGACAACTCATAAAATGCTAAATTACATCTGTTACTTTTAAACTAGGTTGCAACTCATTCACAGGAGGGGCAAGCCCATCAAAGCGAAATATTGATGAATTTTATTCTTCTCGCATCTTCATCACGTTATGTACACTTTTGTTATATTAAACAAATGAAATCAATTCTAATTTTATTAATCATATTTGTAATGCAGATTTTAAGATGGGAATTAAATGCTACATAAACAACATTGAATTGAAACCCTCCCAGGTTTCTCCTCTCACTTAAAAGATCAAAAAGCAAAATTTTCATATTTAAATGCCCCATTTTGATGGTTCGAGTTATTCTTGATAGATAGAATTCCTAAAATTCTTTTATTAGAAAACTCGAAATAGATGGAGAAATATGTCATTCTTAGAAACCATAGGTCCTTGGATATTTTGGCACATATCAAACTCAACATTGGCATGTATTATACCAAATGCAAAATTTTATTCTAATTAAGTTGACCAAATAAAAAAGACCTTCTTTCCTCCTCAATTTTCAAAAAATTCAGGCATTGTTGAAAATTCTGTAAATCTATCACCAAAAGTGATTCACTCCCAAGGGCAATGTAATTTTGGCTTTTACAAATGACTATACAATGAAACTTACCAGTTAAATAAATACATCCCCTGCTAGCAAGGATATTATCAACATCACAATTAATTGCCAGCTAAGCACTTATTACCGACTACCCGTGGTAACTGATAGCTAACTATTAAATCTTGCCATCATTCTTACAAGTTGAAAATTCGTCAAACTATGCCCTAATGCTATAAGAGAACACAATTCCGTGTTGTCCTTAGCCCTTGAAGTTAAACGCCAAGTAAGATTCAGTATTATAATTAAATTAGAATTTACCAAAATTTTCCAGATCTACCTGGTTTCCTTTTCACCTATTCAATAAGTAGATCATATGGCAAGAGTGTTGATGTCTAGTGTCAAGTAAAACCCCATACGCCATATCTTATGAACATGTTTAACAATGTTTTGGAAATCTCAGTATTTGGATGAGCTATCATATTTGCATCTGAATCTAGGCTCATAACCAAACCCTATTCAATTAAAATTTCAATTACGTAAGGGCGACAGAGGCATATATGTATAGGAGAAAGCTTGAACATTTTACTTGAGCCATAATTACATAGAAAGCGAAGATTAAGGCAGCTTACCTAATTTAATTTATTAGTATCTGTGAGTACAGCATCATAATTGCCTCAACTCTCATCAACTCTTTGCGTGTTTAACAAACTTAGGTTATTCACCTACTCGTTGAGAAGAGGGAAGCACAAAACATATCAGTGTCTGCTGATAAGATACATTATCCTCTCAAGTCTAAAGGTTAACTAGAGGTTCAATATTCTCCATAGCAGTAAATAATGACAGAAGATTTTTTTTTCCCTCTCCTTTGCACCCCTAGTTAAATTTAGATGAAATTTCCACCGCAAGAAACTTTTTGAGTGAGAAAATAAATTTTTGTCCACTACTTTTGAGTTTCTAAATAATGTCTATTTGTTGAATTATTTTGACAACATGCCATTCTCTATTCACAAGTCTTACCAAATCCTCCCCCTTCCTTTTTGCACAAATTTCGAACTATCTAGACATTCTCGTCATACTGACTGATGGCTCGGCCCCCTCGAAAGGAGGTCTTTGTCTTCCACCTTAGTTGCGCAAGAAAGGCCCAAACCCAATACCAGGGAATAGTGAAGCTACATAGGATCTTTATGTTCAGGTGCAAGTAGTTCGCATCTTCACAATCATTCGATTTCACCAAACCTCTCTCTGAGAGATAGTGCCCAGACAAAAAAAGAAAGCACTGGGAGTTCTTTCGGAATTCTTACATTTATTTGGAAGCTACTTATTTCATATGAGCAAAACCAATAGGATGAATCAAACGCGTGGGAAAGTTGACAAGAATGCATATATCCATTTAGGCATTATAGTTTTCCTTTTCAACTTTGCTTAGATTGCCTAAGAGACATTTTAATAAAAGGGCACTACAATCATTTAGTATATGATCTAACAATAATATTTAATTAAATTTTTGGAGGTAAATAAATTTCATTTTGACTAAAAAAAAAAATTGACTTATTAGAAAAATTACCCTTAATTTATCATTTGGTGTTTGACGAAGATTGATTCAAGAAACCTGTCAGATTTTATCAAACCGCACGAACTATTGTTATAGTAATGAGGAGGAGGTAGAAAAATTCAATAGGTATAATTGTATTCTAGCCAAGAGGAATAGATTCAAGAAATTTATACAAACTTGAGCAATTGAATTTTAAGTATTAGCTAGACCGTCAACCAACTGACATAAATCTCAGCCAACACAGGGAAAAGCCAGACAAATAGAATTGACAACTCTCGCTCGGGTCAAGTGATATCACTAGCTATTTGACATGCAGGCCAAATGCATCGATCATGCAACATAATGCATAATACCAAAACCACCATATAAGAATGCGGTAAAGATATAACCTCTATCCAAAAAATTTCAAACTAGAGTATTTTTTATTATTTTATCTAGTATACAGAATTAAAAAAAAAAAGTTGTTTTGGCCCCGTAAGACAAGAACATGAAGCAACACATCTGAGCAGAAAGCCAGAATCATCACCACAATATCAGTGTTCAAGGTATTGATTATGCACATTTTAATTATTTATTATCAAGGCCAAAAACAGATGGGATGAAATTAG